ATCAACCCATAACGCCTGGATCTGTCCCGCCGTCACAGCAGCGAGCCGTCTACCACACGTGATAGCCTCAGAGTGCACCTAGCCTGGCACAAGCGCTGTGGTGACGTCACTTAGAGGCGAATGGAGAATGCTGATGTCGCTGTGTCGATGTGAATTATAAAACGATGGGCTGCATTCTGAGTGATGTACAAGCAGACGTTTTCATTACTCGGTACATCTGGCAGTATCACTGTACCTTGCAGCAAACGTATAGCTGGTTGACGTTTCGGGCAATGTCCCTAATTCAGAGCAGAGCGAAAATAAGATACATTGGCTGTGTTGAGAATAATGAACCGTTTGGAATTCACTGAGACGCTCCATAAAGTAAGAGCGTACCCCAAACGCGTGCCATGTGTCAATTAAGATTACAAGACGCAGCCCCAACACAGGATGAAAGTTCGTCTTATAATTTGGAATATACCGTGTGAGTGGACAATGAGAATAAATCTTGACTTAAAGCTTTCGTGACTGCAGGAATTCAAATTATTTGGATATTTCGGTAAAGCCACGTAGAATGAAAAATAATAATAACAAAAATAACCACAATATCACGACGTTTAGATCGCCACACAAGCAATCGTCATCAGGTGAGAGCTGCTAAAGCAGGAAAAATATATGTCGGGAGCGCTGCTAAGGCAGTGAGTTATAAAAGTTTTCAGATGGGTGTGGCCCAGGGGTCAGTGCGCGGGGCTAGAGATGAAATTTGCATGTAAATGTAAGATCGGAGAGATCTTGACAAACGAAGCTGTGGGGGTGGCCATTGTATTGTGAGAGATTAGCATGTCAGTGTAAGAGATTAGCATGTCAATGTAAGAGAGATTAGCATGTCAATGTAAGAGATTTGCTTGCAAATGTAAGCTCAGGGAGAGCTCGGAAAGAGCCATCGCCACGTGGAGGTGGAAAAGGATGGCAAGCCGCCATTTACAAACACAGCTAACGGTGGCTGTGTTAGTGAATGTCACTCAGAGAGTCGAAAATAACTACTAAGATAGGTAGGTTTGCAAACCCACTGGCTATCAGCAAAGATTCGTCCATGAAGCCATCTAGATATATAAACACAGACACAATTTCAACCGAGAAGATGGGTACAAACTGAGCAATAATTGGAAGGACGTTATTAACCAGTTTAGGTCATAACTGGCTGTGTTGTTCCCTTCCTAGCTACCTATGTTAGCAGTTAGTTTCGACTCTCTGAGTTACATTCACTAAACGTCTTGATATTGTGATTATTTATTATTATTTTTCTATCTACGTGCCTTTACGGAAAGACCCAAAGAATTGAGTATACAGCACAGTATGACAAACACCCCAAGTAGATATACACACGTATATATAACAATATATATTAACGTATGAATGTCTTTGTATGCGAGTGTGATTGGAGAGTGGGATTGACACGCGCCTGTAGTTATAATGTTAGAAATGGGCGTTAATTGTGCGTCTATTTGTAAGGAGCAGTGGCGCAGTGATTGGCGCAATTTAGTTTTTGTTTACATTTTCGGTCACGGTTAACATTCTTGGCAACGAGTAATCTCGGCCTTGATTGAGGACATCGTGCGATGTGTAAACGCCGGCACTAAGATGACGAACAGGGCCTGGCGTTGTGATAGTCACACCACCCCCCTGTGTGCCTTAATAGGTACTCGCTCACAGAACTTTCCCCGAGAAAAAAAATCTACGGCTTGCAATAAAAAAAAAATTAGCGTGCGAGTGAAACTACGGTACATGATATGAATCGTATCGAGCTATGTAACGCGTAAAAAAGACAAAGATACCCCGTATTGCCTGTAACAGACTGTAGGGCAAGTGCTTGTTAGTGAGCACCTCTGAAGGCCGCTACGGCACACGAGGGGGTGGGTGGCCAACACGACGCCCGGCCGCCTTTGTCACCCCCAGTGGCGATGTTTAACACATCGCACCAGGTACTCATTTGAGGCTGAGTCGACCTACGGGAGGCCCAGGACCGGTTCAGATAATCGCTATAAATGGTGTTGGCCATGAGCGGGAATCGAACCTTGGTCGCCGGATTCGTAGTGCAGCGCGCTAACCACTACACCACCGCTCCCCATATGCAACGCATCAACGAACATAACTACGTACACAGCAACACACACTAGCGTTGTGTGTTGAACTTCTTTCGAACCGTCAATAGCCAACCGTGTAGCCTGTAACAGACTGTTGGGGTGAGTGCTGTTAGCGAGCACCTATGAAGGTCGACACTGCAAAAGAGGAGCGGTGTGGCCAACACCACGCCCGGCCGCCTTTGTCTCCACATGCTGATCTTTACACAATGCACCAGGTACTCATTTGAGGCTGAGGCGACCTAGGGGTGGTCTAGGAAAGGTTAACAAAAATTATGGTCGTGAGCGGGAACTCAACTGGGGTTGCTGGATTCGTAGCGCAGTGTGGTAACCACTGTGCCACCGCTCACCAAAACATACACACGTACAGCCAGGATTCACATACACACACACACTCCGATACATGCTCACACATACATAGGATAGCACATATCAACACACGCATACGCTTTAAACACTCACACATCAACACACTTATACGCTTTAAACACTCACACATCAACACACTTATACGCTTTAAACACTCACACATCAACACACTTATACGCTTTAAACACTCACACATCAACACACATACGCTTTAAACACTCACGTATCGACACGCAAAGACAACGTCCCCCCGTGTAGCCTTCATTGATTTTTTTCGTACGAGACAGAATCCAGAATGTTTATTTTATATTGGAGTAATCCGATGAGCTATTAAGCTATTTTTTTACAGATGTCCAGTAGGGGCTTCTTGGGGACGTCTTCATCCAGCAGTGGATTGAGTATGGCTCGCGTGACTTGACTGCCACTTAAACGATTCAACAGAGCCATCATTTGCTTCCGTGTACACATGACTTGGGTAAAGGCGCAGTCCTGACCAAAAAAAATCGCTTAGCTCACGAAGACGCCGCTGGCAGAACGCTTGGCCTACTCTAACCACACTGTTTATCGCCACAGTCAGTGCCGGATTATCGTAGTAGCACAAGTATCTACTACATGTAGTAGCTACACATGTAGTAGCTACACATGTAGTAGCTACACATGTAGTAGCTACACATGTAGTAGTACATATGTAGTAGCTGCTACATGTAGTAGCTACTACACAAGTAGTAGCTACACATGTAGTAGCTACGGGCCCCGCACTTTCAAGGGCCACCGTGCTAAACGCTTTGAAGCTATCAATTCCGGTTCAGTGATTCTGCACTTGCTCTATTACTATAGTACTATACCGCCTTCAACTTTTACGAACGACTGGGTGTTTAAGGTTAGCGATTTGTCGTATTATCTGGCTGTATCGCAAATGAAAAAATACAATTACTTTACTATGCAAGTTAAACATTTACGTGTTTTAATATTTACGTGTGTGTGTGTTTTTTTTTTATTTAAGGCCCATTTTTAACATCCTTGTAACAGGCCCAGCACGAGCTTCATACGGCACTGACCCACCGGTGGTACAGCGACCTGGCGATCTCAGTCGTCACTTCGCTGTTGGCCGACGGTTCGAGCACCATGCCGGGCCAACACAGGCGGCGGTGGCGGTGGTGGTGGTGGGACGAGGAGGAGTTGGGGGGGGGGGGTGGGGAGAGGTTCGGGAAAGGCGCGTTCGAGATTCCTCGCGAACGGCAGCAGCGAGCTTGAGCGCTCCACTTCGGCCGCTATTTACTGCCTTCGCCGTCACACTCCGCGCGAATTAAATAAATAAAGATATCTCAGCACCGCGATGCCCACGGCCCGAAGTCGGCGGCGGAATCCCTTCGCGAGCGTCGGCCCGACGCGGCGACTCCAAACAAAAACCCCACGCGCAACCTTGGTTCGAACGCAAAGCCAACAACAACAACAATTTAATTTAACGCGCGCTCGTAAAGTTGTGCAGCCCTTTGTCGATCCACTGCTGGATGAGACACTGGGGGGGGGGGGGGGTGGGGGGGGGTGGAGGGACCGGGCGTGCTTTTGGCCAAATCGCTCTCGTGGTGAGCCCCGTGCGAACCTTCATTGTAGGCGCCCGCCCGCTGCACTTGCCCCGGCAGTGTCGCGGACACATAGCAGAGGACACCTTCGTGATCCTGTGCGGGTGAGGACGCGTGGGAGCACGAGAGAGGAGGGGAGAGCGGTAGGTTTGAAGATGTGCGAAGAGGGAATATGCAGAGGTAGGAGAGAGGTGGGAGCAGGAGAGAGGTAGGAGTCAGATGCAGGGGGTACGAGGAGGCGACGTTTCGGACAATGACCCTTTTTCGTGCTCTGCAGGAGGACCATTGCACGTGAACGTCGCCAATTGTGCAGGTTTCACTTTGAAGGGCAACGCAGTGGCGATTGAGGGATGTGTCGACGTTGGTTGCTCTTTGTGCACCACTGCCAACGCAGTGGCGGGGTCACTCAACAAATGTCATTTACAGATAAATGAAGGTGGGAGGTTGGGATCAGGCGGGAGCAGGGGGTGAAGCGATAAAGGTGCTGGAGCCACGGGAAGCATTCAGCTGGAGGGAGGAGGGAGGTAGGAAGAGGAGGGGGTAGGAAGAGGGGGTAGGAGGGTGGTAGGAGGAGGGGGTAGGAGGAGGGTGGTAGGAGGAGGGGGTAGGAGGAGGGTGGTAGGAGGAGGGAGGAGGTAGGAGGAGGAGGAGGAACGCCCCTGTCATTATGGGAAGTGTTCTCGGTGCGAGGAGGCGTACCCGCTGGGTTGTATCAACATCACTGCGAGACGGAGGTAGGAGGGAGGAGACGAGAGGGAGGGAGGCAGGAGACGAGAGGTAGGAGGGAGGAGACGAGAGAGAGGGAGGGAGGAGACGAGAGGTAGGAGGGAGGAGACGAGAGAGAGGGAAGGGAGGAGACGAGAGGTAGGAGGGAGGAGACGAGAGGTAGGAGGGAGGAGACGAGAGAGAGGGAGGGAGGAGACGAGAGAGAGGGAGGGAGGAGACGAAAGGTAGGAGGGAGGAGACGAGAGAGACGGAGGGAGGGAGACGCCACTCGTGTGGCTCTGGGTCCGCCAGAGACGTCGAGGCAAGCAGTCGCGACATCGCTCTCGCATCTCCTCCTCGCTCACCTCGCTGTCCCCCCCCCCCTCCTCAGCTCCTTGCGCAAGGTTTCTCTACACCACCACCCCCCTCTAGCCCCACGTGGTCGCTGGAAGAAGGACATCGAGACTCACCGAGGACTAAGAGAGAGAGCGACCGTTCCTTCCTCGTGGCAGAGAAGTGACAACATCAGGAGGTTCTCATTTAGTTTCAAAGAGGACAGATTCCCTGCCTGGCGGTGTTACCTGCTCACTGCGTGCCCCGAGACTCTCGTCTCGCTGAGTTCCAATCCGACTCCGGGCTACGGAGAGGGGGAGCGCTAGACGAGGAGGCACGGCTGGTGGAGTGCGAGTGGACGCCGAGTTTCCTGGCTCTCTGTCGTCGTCGCTACGAAGAGACGCGCACGGGCACGGCTGGTGGAGTTCTGCGCTGAGAGAGGGAGACTAAAAAAGTGAGTTGGTGAGCGAGTGAGTGGGTGGAGGAGCGAGAGAGGATGTGTGTGTGTGTGAGTGGCGAGCGAGCGAGTCGTAGGTGGGTGAGTGAGTTGGTGGGTGGGTGATCGAACGGGCGAGTGGATGAGTGAATGAGTGAGCGGGTGAATGAGTGGACGGACGGGCGAGTGAATGAGCGATTCAGTGGCTTTGTGAGTGATCAAGGGGTGGTTGTGTGAACGAGCGTGCGATTGGACGGGTGCGTAATTTGGTAGGGGAAATGAGTAGGTCGAGCGACACAAAGTGGAGTACGTGAATGTTGGCTGGAGGAACATAGCCCGTGAAGCGAAGCGAGCGAGCGCAGTGAGTCGACTGCGAAGACAGCGAACGCGCGGGTGGTGAGTCTTTAGGTCATGGGTGAGTTTGGTTTGTGGGTAGACGATTGGATGCAGATACACGTAGAGGTAGCGGACGGATTGCGAGGGAGACAGAGAGACACGGCAAGACAGAGGGAGGGAGACAGGGAATCAGCTGCAGAGAGAGAGAGAGAGACGCGCACGCACACACACGGAACTAGCTGTAGACAAAACGACCATGGAGAGAGGCAAGTGGAATATTCAATGACGGGGGGTGGGGGGGGATGTAAGCTAGATACAGAGGGAGAGATACATGCGCAGACGTTTGGGACCACATAGACACCTTCGATTCGTACAACGAAGCGAAGAGATAGGAGAGGCATGAGTGAGACAAGTTTGAGAGACAGACATTGGTATGGATACAGAGGGGGCGGAGGGGACAGACGTTGTTCAGACTTAACTACACGGGCAGACAGACAACATGGGCTGGAGAACAACAGACAACGTAACGGACACGCAGGCGCATGAACAGACACAAGGACATATATCTGTATAGAGGGACAGACACACACGCTACAAAGATAAATATAAAGATCCCCCGGATAGCCTTAACAGACTGCTGGGGCAAGTGCTGTTAGCGAGCACCGATAAAGGCCGGCACGCCCGGCCTTTCTCTCCCTAGCAGCGATGTTTACACACCGCACCAGGTACTCATTTGAGACTGAGTCAACCTAGGGGAGGGCCCAGGACCGGTTCAGATAATCATCACTGTCGGTGTTGACCGTGAGCGGGGAATCGAACCCGGGTCGCCAGGTTTCTTAGCACAGCGCAGCGCTACCCGCTACACTGCCGCTCCCCACTCACACACCACACACTGACCAGCTCACACACCACAGTGAACACAGCAAAACAATGCGTGTTCATATATGTTTTAAAGTTAACATTATTAAAACAAATACAAAGGCAACAGCACTGATCCCACACTCACACACACATATATATGCATGCGTACGTACACACAGGCGAGCAAACACTCGGACACACAGATGCGAGTCACTTAACACAGAGACAAATCAGACGCATGCGGATACTAGTATAAAGACAAAGATCCCCCGTGTAGCCTGAAACAGACTTCTGGGGCACGTGCTGTTAGCGAGCACCCTGTGTCTGTAGGTGTGTGTGCGGTGAGCGGTGGTGCAGCGGTTAGCGCGCTGGGTCAAGAACCGGTCTACCAGAGTTCGTATCCCACTCAGGGCCAACACCGGCGACGATGAATTCTGAACCGGTCCTGGGCTTCACAAACGTCGCCTCGGCCTCAAATCGAGCAAATCGAGTACCCGCTGCGGTGTGCAGTAAACGTCAGCACTCGGGAAGACAAAGGCGGCCGGGCGTGTTGCTGGCCACCCACCCGCTCGTGTGCTCGTGCCGGCCTTCATAGGTGCTCGCTAACGGCACTTGCCCCCAACAATGTGCGGTGAGCGGTGGCGCAGCGGTTAGCGCGCTGCGCCACGAACCCGGAACCCCGAGTTTGTATCCTATTTACGGCCAACGCCAGTGACGATTATTCGAACCGGTCCTGTACGTCTCCTAAGTCGACTCAGCCTTAAATTAGTACCTGGTGCCTTTTGTAAATACCAGAATCGGAGAGACAAAGGCGGCCCATCGATGTACCTTCATAGGTGGTGGTGCCCGCAGAACGGCACTTGCCCCAACAGTCAGCCACGGCTATACAGGGGATCTTTGTCTTTTATATGTATGTATGAGTGTTGGTATGTGACTGTAAGACGATATATGGAATATTTGTTTTGTTTTTTTTGTCTGTGAGTGAGAGTTACGTGTCGCTGTGTGTGTGTGTGATTGTGAGTTGCGTGTCTTTGTGTGTGTGATTGTGTGTGTGTGATTGTGAGTTGCGTGTCTTTGTGTGTGTGATTGTGAGTTACGTGTCTCTGTGTGTGTATGAGTGTGTGTGTGATTGTAAGTGTGTCTCTGTACGTTGCGCGTGTGTGTTGTGCACGTGTGTTATTACGTGTGCGTGTTTATGTGTGTCTCGTGTGTTTGTGTATCTGTACATATATATTTGCGTGTATATTTAAGTGTGAGTGTACGTCCGTGTGTGTGTGCGTGTTGTTGAGTGTGTGTCTTTACGTCTGCGTGTTTGTGAATTAATCCGCATCTGCGTGTCTGTGTGTATACGTCTGTATCTGTGTGTACACGTGTGTGTGTGAACATCTCTCTCTGTGAGTATATATATTAACATCTGTATGTGTGAGTATATATGTGTATATCCGTGAGTGTATATATACGTGTGGGGAGCGGTTAGCGCGTTGCGCTACGAACCCGGCGACCCAAATTCGATTCTCGCTCACGGCCACCAACAGCAGTTGACGATTATCTGAACCGGTCCTGGGCCTCCCCCTAGGTCGACTCAGCCTCAAATGAGTACTTGGTGCGCTGTGTAAACATCGTCACAAGGCGGCCGGACGTGGTGTTGGCCACCCATCCCCTCGCGTGCTGCGCCGGCCTTCATAGGTGCTGCTCGCTAACAACACTTGCCCCAACAGTCTTTTGAGGCTATACGGGGGATCTTTGTATTTTTTTAATCTCTCCGTAAAACACACACACCCCGTCTTTCTCCTCTCCCAGTGGCCATCTCATCGACTGTCTGAGCCCTACTGAGAGGGTTCGCAATCCGCACCAAGCCACCAAGAAGCCACCAACCAAACCCACTCCCGAGTCAGCGGCTCAACCGCACCGCGGCTGACACCTCCATCACCCCACCCAGCACCACGACCACCACCAACCACGACCACCACCAACCACGACCAGAACTCCCGGCGATGACCACCAAACCAGGCGGGGCCACGGCGGTCCTGGGCGACGCTCACGTGAAGCGCCCCATGAACGCGTTCATGGTCTGGTCGAAGGGCGAACGCCGCAAGTTGGCGCAGGACAACCCCAAGATGCACAACTCGGAGATCTCCAAGCGGCTCGGCGCCGAGTGGAAGCTCCTGAGCGAGGCCGAGAAGAGGCCCTTCATCGACGAGGCCAAGCGGCTGCGCGCGCAGCACATGAAGGAGCACCCGGACTATAAATACCGACCACGCCGCAAACCCAAGTCCATGCTGGCGCTCAAAAAGGACCGCTTCGCTTTCCCGTTCCCTTACTTCGCGGCCGACGCTGACCACGTGGCGAAGTTGCATCACCAGCAGCACCACCACCACCACCACCAGCAGCACCAGCAGCATCAGCAGCACCATCAGCACCATCAGCAGCAGCAGGCGGCAGCGGCGATCCTTTGTCCGAGGTCGCCCTCCGGAGTGGACCATCCTCTGCAGCAGTGTCTGCAGGGCGTGGATGATCACCACAAGATCCGCGCCCTGCTGCCCCACTACTCGCTGCTGCCCCGCGGCGTCGCGGACCTCTCCCCTGCGGCGCCTGGATCCGGGGCAGCGGGAGGAGCAGCAGCAGCAGGAGGTGGTGGTGGTGGTGGTGGTGGCGGTGGTGGTGGTGGAGCTGCCACTGCAACTGCCGCGGCTGCCGCCGCAGCAGCAGCAGCAGCGTTCGCCTACCAGCATCACTTCGGACATCACCATCATCAGCAGCAACAGCAAGAGCAGCAGCAGCAGCAGCACCACGTGCTGGCGGGACATGCCCACTCGCCTCACCACCACCCTCACCACCCTCACCACCCTCACCACCACGTCCCCGCTCCCCCCGGGTATCTCGTGCCTTACAGTTGGGCAGCAGCAGCAGCGATGGCCGGGGGAGCGGCGATGCAAAACAGCCCCCACCTCGCCTATCTTCTCTTCCCTCCGGCGCCGCCGGCGAGCCTGGCTAAGCCCACCGCCATCGAGCCGCTCCGGGCCTCCCCCTACCCGTGACGTGCCGGTGCGTTCCCCGTGCGCGGCGCTGTGAAGTTGTGTGGTCTGTGCGTACGCGTGCCGAGGCATTCTTTCGCACCGTGCGGGGTTCATCCGCGCTAATCGGAGGTGCGGGTAAAGGGACAGCGGGCTAAGGACGAACACAGCGGTTCAGAAGAGACGCGCTTGTCAATATGGGTGACGATTTGAAACGCGCGCAGCTCCAAGTGGCCGCCTAACATCGGAAGGAAGAGCGTTCCAGACGGCCGCGGAAGCGCATCGGAAAGCGCGCGACGATGCGGGTAACCGCCGTCTTTGTTCAGATGGGCCAGCCAAAAGACGATGATGACCCCGAGTTCGCGTGGTGGTTTTGTGCTCCTTGACGAGATCAGCGAGATTGCCGCGGGGATTGTTAGGGTCAGGCGGGAGCCAGAGGGGACAGGGCAGGAGCTGTCCAGGTCCTGACCTCCGGAATGTCCAAAAAAATTGATTTTGAGTGGACTGCAAAGCGTTGCGCCTCGTAACGACCCCCAACGAGGTGAGGCGGCTGATGCGTTGCGGAGTCGCTGTGCGTGTCGTTGGTGGTTTGTTAGTGTTGATTGATTTTCAGACGGAGTTGTCCTGGGTAGAGTTGCGTAAAAAAATATTTTCCCTGTCATCGGCGGGAGGAAGGGAGGGAGGGCGGGCGGGGAGAGCAGGGACGTGTGTCCGGGGGTTGTTTTGTGGGACTGAGGGGGGTCCGGGAATATTTCGCGGCAAATCCTCCGGCCCTGGAGAGGGGGGTTAGCAATGTGCCTGAGAGTTCGTGTCCGTGCCACGAGAGTGAAGAACTAAACTATTTACTTCATTTTTTTTAAAATTTACCACGTAAGGCCCCCGCTGAGCTGTGTAGCCCTTCATCGGAAGCGACTTGACTACAAATGACAGCTCAACGAAGTGGCTCATCATCGTGTGGAGATGTATAGCAGCCGCCAAATACTCTAAACGCGTGATGTTGATTGTAAATATGGAAGGAAACACCGGGGGACCCGGAGACAAATCCACGAGTCCACGGGGGGAGAAAGAGAGAGAGAGAGAGGAGAGGAGACACGCAAACTACAAATATTGGGCAGGCGTCAGGGTCGGGATCGCCGTGCGGGCCACGGCAGAGTGGAGTTTGATTGAACAAACCGTGCGACCACAACGACACGAGGGATGGCCAGTGCCGACGTGGGCATGCGTAGCAGTGCAGCACATCCGTGGATATTGGTGCACTTCGTTAGCGCTGTTCATTACGTGCCGCCCTCCACGCCGCGGTCACCTATTGTCCACGCCGCTCACCCAATACAAAGACACAGATCCCCCGTGCAGCAGTAACATACTGTTTGGGGCAAGTGGTGCTGCTAGCGAGCGCCTATGAAGGCCGGCACTGTGGCACACGAGGGGGTGGGTGGCCAGCGCCACGCCCGGCCGCCTTTGTCTCCCCAGTGGCGATATTGACACACCGCATCAGGTACTCTTTTGAGGCTGAGTCGACCTAGGGGAGGACCCATGACCGGTTAAGATAATCGCCACCGGTGTTGCTGGCCGTGAGCGGGAATCGAACTCGGGTCGCTGGTCTTAGTAGCGCTGTGCGCGACCCGTTGCACCGCCTCTCCCCACGCATACGCAGACGTTTGTCCAGCACGCGACCCGGCTTAGCTTCCTAGATCTGGCGAGATCGCGCGACTTACGGTGTAGAGGCAGGCCCTCGTACCCTGATACTAACAGAGATCCTCATCGTCAGCCACCATCATCATCATCATATTCTTCAGCCATAAACTATCCGCTGCTGAATGAATCCGCCTTCACATTCCTCGCGGTCTCGCGATGCCAACGGTCCATCCGGATTGTGTAATAGGATCCGATTTTGGGGTTCCATCTCTACCGGGGATGCAGTTACCTGCCCGTCCTCCTGATTTCAAATAAGTGGGGAACGCTCATTGCGTCACGAACTCGGCGAACCCAAGTTCGATTCCCGGCCACGTCTAACATCAGTGGCAAGTTATCTGTGAACCACTCACTAGTCGCTGCCCCCCCCCACCCACCCCCCGCTTTATACCAACCCGCACCGCCCTGCGTGGTGAAGTATGGCCAAACTACCCCAGTGAACGATGGCGCGGTGCGGGGAGTTACATCATGTGGCCTTGGATTGACAAATAGCAGCAAATGATTATTAATTGATCGATCACTACTATAAGCTATTAATTGATCGATCACGACTACAAGCTATGGAAGTCTAAGGGCAACGCGTGTTTCGAAAGCATCGCCAATGAGATGAATCGCAACAGAAGAAATATTTGAGAGTGACTTTCACGAGCGCTCCAGCGAGGCCACCGCGCGGGAATTTCGGCGCCGTCAAACTTTGCTGAGCGCGAAGCGACGTCACCGGAGCGCAACTGGGGTGGTGGGTGGTGGATTAAAATAAACTCCTTGAAACAAGTTTTTTTTTTTTTAAACAGCGTTTTTATTCACAACTTCGTTTAACTCACCCTCGGGAAGTACGTCAATGATGCGGCGCCTGCTCCCACATCAACGCTTACTTGAAATAATTGGTTATTTTATAAATGAATCTTCAGTGTGCAACCGCCTGCTTTTTGTGCGAGGCGATTCCGCAGTTTTTTGACCTACACAAAAAGATACAATTAATAAGTCGTCCATACTAAAATTGTAATTGCTTGAAAGGAGCCAATTAATTGATGAATCGATGCCGATTTTGATACAGGCACGCATTGTCACCAGATCTGAGTAGGTGTGAAAAATGTCTCATTGATTAGACAACAGGAAGGAGACTAAATTTCGATTGCAAGATTTGACCACGACAAACACGAGTCAATTTCAATAAAACCATTGAATAAAAACGGAGTTGATGGTCTGAAAGTGCCGCCCCATCCTTACAGGAAGCGTCGCACCACCCCCACCCCCTCCACCCGCGTGCGTGCGTGACGGGTCGAGGGGCGTGTGTCTGTCTCTCGCCAAGCGGGGCTCCATCACTGGGATGACAATTGGAGATCAGATCCACGTGACCGTCTGTAAAATCAGCTTCGAGCCTCGCCGTAAATGACGCAAATTCGCAGAGCCAGTGCGTTCCCTTCACGTCACAGAAAACGGCCCGCGGAAGTGGATATCACGGAGTTACCCCTGAGATCCTCGCTCTTCCCCCCCGCCCCCGCCGCCCGTATAGCCTCAAACGACTGTTGGGGCAAGTGCTGTTAACGAGCAGATTGTTAAGGCCAACTCGGTACGCGGGGTCGGGTGGCCAACACGACGCCCGGCCGCCTTTGTCTCCCCAATGCTGCCGTTTGCACACTTGCTAATTTGAGGCTGAATCAACCTAGGGGAGCGCCAGGACCGGTTCAAATATTCGCTGTCACTATTTTTTGCTTGGTGAGAGGGATTCCAACTCGGCCCGCCGGGTTCGTAACTGTTCCCCATGAATACAAATCTGTGCGCGCACGCACTCACGCGCACCGACCGGATAGAATAGTTACATATGTGTCTGTAGAACTCCATTCTGTGTATCTACATTTAAATAAAATGTACGTACGTTACACTTCTTTGGCACCGTACGTAGCCAATCGTGATAATCGCAGCTTGCGGATTATTTAAAATACGTTTAGTAACGGAATATAAGACGCACCCCCCAATACTCGCTTAGAAATATGAGTGAAAAGTGCGTCTTATAATCCGGTGTACACGGGATATTGCAGTGTACATTTTCCACTTTGTTTCAATTGTATGTATCGAGAAAAAAATGGGAATTGTAAATATTTATCCTGGTAATGAATTAGATGATTTAAACAAAAAGTAAAATTTTAGGACGGCGTTTTTGTTTCTTCATTTCATGTTATCCAAGCAGAGCGTTTTCTGCTAACTTTTAATGATTGATTAATCGGCACTTATTCGAGCAGAAACCTGGGTAACTGGAAACCCAGTGACTTTGAACTTTAAACAAAAAATCAGATCAATGAAACGATGGAACTCGTGTGTGTGTGCATGTCTAGGCGCAGCGGTTGGCGCTACGCTGCGCTACGAACCCGGAGACCCGAGTTAGATTCTCGCTCACGGCCAACACCGCCAGTGACAATGATCTGAACCGGTCCTGTGCCTCCCCTAGGTCGACTCAGCCTCAAATGAGCATCTGGTGCAGTGTGTAAACATCGCCACTCGTGAGACAAAACGCGGCCACCCACCCCCTCGTGTGCCGCGTCGGCCTTCATAGCTACTCGTTAAACAGCACTTGCCTCAACAGTCCGTTAAAGGCTATACGGGGGATCTTTGTCTTTGTGTCTGTTAAAAAAATAGAAACTCTCATGCCCAACTGAAAAGCGATGCCAACTCAAAGTTGCCTCAGTCACTTGAATATGGGTGAACTTTACTTGATTGTGAACTTATAACCTTACAACATTCCGGCTGTTTATTACTAGTATTTAATTGCGTACAAGTTAAAGTTGACAAAGTGGTAATAGCTCGGCACATTCTGTCAACACAGCACTGTTTCACCTAAAAAAAACTGAAATATTTATCACAGGCAACGTTTCGAGCAATGACCCTTCTTCATCACAGCGCAACACGGGTCATGCAGATGACGTATAACAAGGGCAAATGTTCCATCGCGTTGGCTATTACACACACACACGTATTTATATGTCTCTGTGTGTGTGATCTTTATAGGGCGGCGGTTTTATTGACGGCTGTGTTGAGTGTAGCGGGGAACGGTGGTTTAGCGGTTAGCGCGCTGCGCTACGAACCTGGCGACCCGGGTTCGATTCCCGCTCACGGCCGACACCAGTGACGATTATCTGAACCGGTTTTGGGCCCTCCCCTAGGTCGACTCGACCTCAAATGCGAACACTGGTGCTGTGCGTAAAAAAACATCGCTACTTCGGAGACAAAGGCGGCCTGGCGTGGTGCTGGCCACCCACCCCCATCGTGTGCGGTTCTGGTCTTCATGGGTGCTCGCTAACAGCACTTGCCCCAACGGTCTGTTAAGGCTATACGGGGGATCTT